TGTGATTACGAGTCTTGTGAACAACAGGGAGCAGGAGACAAGATGAGACTGAAGAGTTAAGGGTCCAGAGATGACGCCCACACTTAGGTTTCTCCAACTGGATGTAAGGTGGTGCCATTTACTTAGAACACTGGGGGAAAAAAAAACAGGTTCAAGCAGTAATACTTTTAGGCTTGAGAATCCTGTGAGGCATCCAAGTGGGGATGTCAAGTTGGTGCCTGGAAGGATGGATCTGCCAATTCTCAGGCCGATGTCCTTCACTCCCTCACCCACGCTGTATGACGTGGATAGGGTCTCAAGTGTTCCGTCCCCACTAGCAATATCTGTCCATGAGTCAGGCTAGTGCAGCAGCAGCTGCTTGACCAAAAGTGATGGAAGACTGAATAGAATTACATTAACTCAGCAAGAGTTATCTTAACACTGCTGGGTGGGATTATTAATCGCCAACTTCAGTACCTTTAGTTTCTTATTTTTAATCAAATTATGAACTATGCTATGGAGTTAGGTGGGCCAAAGATTTTAGGAGAAAACATTACATCCTTGGTGGTATGAGCAGTATCCAAAAGTAAAGCCACTTAAAAGAATAGTACAGGGTTTCCCTGGTGGCGCAGTGGTTGAGAGTCCGTCTGCCGATGCAGGGGACACAGGTTCGTGCCCTGGTCTGGGAAGATCCCACATGCCGCGGAGCGGCTGGGCCCGTGAGCCATGGCCGCTGAGCCTGCGCGTCCGGAGCCTGTGCGTCACAACAGTGAGAGGCCCGCGTACCGCAAAAAAAAAAAAAAAAAAAAAAAAAAAAAAAAAAGAGAATAGAACAAACTCTGAAGCAAAGAGCTGCAGACCCTACAATCAGTAACTCCAACCTAGAAAAACTCAACTGGCCAAAACCTAAAGGGTTTTTTAGTCTATTTTAACCAAAAAAAGAGGCATGAAATAGTGTCTGTCAGTCACGGAGATTTTAGCCAACTAGCAACACTAGTCAGTGAACCCACACCTCTACTTCAGAATCCTTGTCAGATTATTCTGTCTTCCCAAGAATAGAATCAAAATCTTCTTCAGTTTTATTTCAATTTACACAGCTATAATACTTTGAAAATCCTTGTTAACTCGTTGACTTAACTAGTAGTAATCTCTCTAGTCTCTTAACATCAATCCTACATATTCTTTAATTCATCCATGAAAATTTCAGTAAAATATAAACAATCTACCTAAAATGCTTCCCACTTGAGTGGTTATTTGAAGCAAAGATTACCCTTAAGACCACTCCTTCCAACTATAAAGACTCCTTCCAACTATTATATCTTTTTAATTTTCAGTGAGTTGGTATATTACTATCGAGGTCTCAGACCTAAGAAAATCATGAGTTCTGTCTGTATTCTTCAAAGTCAAGAACAGAGGTCTAAGCAATCTATAAGTGTCAGTTTCATGACTCCACTGTCTACATACTCCTGGAGTGACACTAATCCTACCTAACCTTGGAAATTAACTTCCTAAAACTTTAGAAAAACCAACAGTATTTTCAATGAGTCAAAGGACTGACTCCTTCCGCAGATTGCTAACAGTCCTCCTGCAAACATTCAACACTCACTGATACTCTAAAAGCATACGACAGGGCTTCCCTGGTGGTGCAGTGGTTAAGAATCCGCCTGCCAATGCAGGGGACACGGGTTCAAGCTGTGGTCAGGGAAGATCCCACATGCCGCAGAGCAACTAAGCCCATGCGCCACAACTACTAAGCCTGCGCTCTACAGCCCAAGAGCCACAACTACTGAGCCTGCGCTCTAGAGCCCGCAAGCCACAACTACTGAGCCCTTGTGCCACAACTACTGAAGCTCCTGTGCCTAGAGCCCGTGCTCCACAACAAGAGAAGCCACCACAATGAGAAGCCCGTGCACTGCAACGAAGAGTAGCCCCGGCTCACCACAACTAGAGAAAGCCTGCGCACAGCAACGAAGACCCAATGCAGCCAAAGATAAAATAAATAAAATAAATAAATGTATAAAAGAAAAAAATAAAAGCATAAGATACATGCTCATTAGTAAAAAGTTAATTGAAGAATGTATGTATTATATATACACACAAAGCCCCAAAGATCTATAACTTTATTTTTCTATTGTAATCATTAGCACTACTGTTTCCAAATGGGTTTCCAAATATGTGTTAATTAAATCTAGCATTTCTTCTTTCAGATTAACTGGTTAGCCCAGGAGTGCCTTCTAGGAACCTTTGGACACCATCAAATGTGTTTTCTGTTTAAAAATATGACTACTGGGGCTTCCCTGGTGGCGCAGTGGTTGAGCGTCCGCCTGCCGGTGCAGGGGACACGGGTTCGTGCCCCGGTCCGGGAGGATCCCACGTGCCGCGGAGAGGCTGGGACCGTGGGCCATGGCCGCTGGGCCTGCGCGTCCGGAGCCTGTGCTCGGCGATGGGAGAGGTCACAGCAGTGAGAGGCCCACGTACCGCAAAAAAAAAAAAAAATATATATATATATATATGACTACTATAATCCTAGATTTCCTGATTTCTACACCAATTTCAATAACTACCTAAATTCTACAACTGTTCAGCTTTTTTCTTGAGAAACAAAAAAGACACTTTTTTTTTGAAGCTGCTAAAAAAAAAAAATCTGTCAAAACAAGATATAAATCCTTTTTGTGACACTGGTGTATGTCATTTAACCACCGTGGACGTTAAGTTCCCTCATCTATAAAATGGGCATAATAAAGCCCTGTTCTACCAACTGCCAGGATCAATTGAGATTATATATGAAAAACACAACTTAAAATGTCATTAAAACTATTACTGTACTCTTAATAAGCATACTAAGTATCATTAATTTTCCTTTCCCTTTTCTTTTTTTAAAATAAATCAGGACTACTTTTTTTAAATAAATGTATTTATTTTACTTATTTATTTTTGGCTGCGTTGCATCTTCATTGCTGCGCGTGGGCTTTCTCCAGTTACAAAGAGCGGGGACTACTCTTTGCGGTGCAAGGGCTTCTCATTGCGGTGGCTTCTCTTGTTGCAGACCATAGGCTCTAGGCGTGTGGGCTTCAGTAGTTGTGGCACATGGGCTCAGTAGTTGTGGCTTGAGGGCTCTAGAGCGCAGGCTCAGTAGTTGTGGCACACGGACTTAGCTGCTAAGCGGCATGTGACATCTTCCCAGACCAGGGATCGAGCCTGTGTGCCCTGCACTGGCAGGCAGATTCCTAACGACTGTGCCACCAGGGAAGCTCTCCTTTCCCTTTTAATCCACTTATTTCCTTACAGGTTTACGGCAGTTACTTATTTATGTGAAATATAACTCTAAAAAAGCGTAAGAGAATGTAAACTACTCCAGCTCTTCTAATTAACAGCACTGGGCTTACATTTTAGCATAATTTAAAACAATTCAAAATTCAAAATATAATGTTAAATGAAACTCATATTCCAGCAACTTGCTCTTCACCGCAATGTATAAAGTTATAGGGCTATTACCTAGCCTTCCAAGTCATGAGTTAATGATGAATAAACCGTTACTAAACACAAATAATTGAAATAGTACACCTCAAATTAACGGTAGTCACAAACACTGATTTGGTTCATGTAATGAGGACCAGCAAAACCTCACTGAAGCAAAGGTTTACGGTAAATCTAGAAGATTTCAGTAATAAAATACGGAGCAAAATAACCCAGAGCAACACGGCGTAAATGAGTTAGTACACCTTCTGAAACTGTAGCTATGAGACTAGGAAAACAACAAAAAGAACCAAGGCTGGTGTGTCTACTTCTTCTAAACAAATGGTTAAAAAAAAAAAATCAACTTGCAAGAAAGCAATTATTCCACATTAGATTCACCACTCCCATATCACTGTAAAAAAAAAAAAATCAAACCTATATAGACCTCAAAAGTTTGCGTTTCAGGAACATACGAAAGCCAGTATCCGTGAACATCAGGTGCTTTCTCTTTGTTGATTACCGATGACACAGCTTTCTTCCTGACAGCCCACAACTAATTACAAGTAAAACTGCCTGCCTAATGGCCCGGTTCTCTTCCCACCTACACACTAACTACACTGGGGTTAAAGCCTCCCCAAGTGGATCCTCGGGGACAGAGCGCCCTACCCGGGGGGCCCGGGAGGCGGTGGTGGCGTCAGTGTACGCGCGGGGTCAGGCTTGGCGGGGCGCTGCGGACTGAGCGGCGAGGGGGCCTGCTCCACCCGTCCCCTCGCCCAGTGCAGGGAGGTGACCGCGGGGCTCGGCGCGCTTTGGGAGCGAGGCCGGGGCCGTGCCTCCCGCCGGGGGCCGGGAGAAGCGGGCTGTGGGGGCCAGGCCCGGTGCGCTCCAAACGGACGGGGGAGGAGCTGAGCCGCCAGGGCGACGGGCAGCCCGGGCCTTTCGCCGCCCGGAGGAAAGGCTGGGGGCCCCTGGGATTAGAAGTAGGCCGGAGGGGGTGTACCGGCCACGTCTCGGGCCCTCGCCTCCTTCACCTGCCACGAACACCACGAAGACCGCGCCGCTCCTCTTGGCCGACGCGATGGCGGACGGAATGGCGCCCTGGAACCACAGCATCGCTGCCCTCGGGCACAGGCGCTCGCTCGGTGTGCTGTTGCCTCCGTCCCGGAGCTGGCCCCGCCCTCTCCGTCGTTGGGCCCAGCGGCCCGCCTCCGGCTCCGCACCGGCGCGCAAGCCCGTCAGCGGCCCCCAGGACGCGCGCAAGCGCGCAGGCCGAGGCGCGCCCCGCGACACATGACGCCACGCGTCGCCGTCTACACCGCGCGCCCGTGCCTTGTCTCGTTGGCAAGTCGGTGCGTGCGGGCGCCCGCGAGGCCGCAGGCCCTGCAGTCGCGGAAGTGGAAGGAGGCAGCGGAAAGGGTGACTAATCGCTAAGTGACGGCGGCGGCGCCTTCCTGAGGCATGACGGGAATTGTAGTCTTCTTAGGCTTGGCTCCTTTAATGTGGGAAACGTCACTGTGGTTTTCCGGGCACGGCTAAGGGGGCAGCAGTGAGAACCACTTCACAATCTATAAAGAGGAGGAGAAGTGGCGCTAGTCACCGGGATATGCCATTCTCGGCATTACTGAGACCTTAAATGTGGAGGAAATCATCCCCGCCCCGGGTGTTAACCCTGCGTAGTGGGACCATGTAATTGTGTATCATGATTAGTGGCCATTGTGCGATAGCGTGGGTGTCTCTCGGTATAGAACTAAACGGGCTTTGTAGGGATTTACTGCAAGGTTTTGATTTCTATTGGACTTAATTTATCAGCTCAACCTTGAAGAAAAGAACCACAGCAGTCACCTTCTGTAATACCGTACAGCCCGTGTACCTGAGGGGAGGTATTGGTTGAACGCAGACCTTGAGTAATTTTCATTGTAGTTGGTTAGAGACCATTCCAAACCTCAAAACGTTTAGCTACGCTGTTGCCACAGCTGCTTTCGAAAGTAAGTCAAAAGCAGAGAATAGATAATGATGTACTTTCCAGCTACTTTAAAAGGTAATACAAAAGAGAAGAATAGATAATTTTGTTTACGATGACAAAGTACTGTGATCAAGATAGGGCACTTTGTGGTTGGTTGCCATTAAAATGAAAACTGATTCATACTTAATACTTTCTTGAAATTACATGGTCTCTATTAACTATTGGCTAAAGGCTTGTATGGTTTATTTAAAGTTGCATACGCTATTATATTAGACATCCTAGACATCCTACATCATTTAAATTTCTCTTATCCCTTTCCTACAAATATTTAACCTAAAAATAGCTAACATTCTTTCCGATTTTTTTTTTTTTTTTTTTTTTGGCTGCGTTGGGTCTTCGTTCCTCCGCACGGGCTTTCTCTAGTTGCAGTGGGCGGGGGCTACTCTTCGTTGCGCTGCGCGGGCTTCTCACTGTAGTGGTTTCTCTCATTGCGGAGCACGGGCTCTAGGCGTGCCCGGCTTCAGTAGTTGCAGCACACAGGTTCAGTAGTTGCAGCACTCAGGCTCTAGGTGCGCAGGCTTCAGTAGTTGCGGCACGCAGGCTCAGTAGTTGTGGTGCATGGGCTTAGTTGCTCTGCGGCCTGTGGGATCTTCCCGGACCAGGGCACAAACCCGTGTCCCCTGCATCGGCAGGCAGACTCTCAAGCACTGCGCCACCAGGGAAGCCCCTAGATACCTGTGTTTTTCAACCTCCTCTTAGAGCCAGTAGGATTTCGTGGGAAGTGGGGATTGGGGTGGAGGCAGTTCTAGGAGAAGTTTTCTTTCAAAAAGAGACACGTGGAAGAAAGCACAACCCTTCTCCGTGTGCATATGCTGCCTGGTACTGCTATGGCCAGAGGAACGACATTGCCAACTCTCTGAGAATGGTAGAATGGAATATGTAAAGCACCCGTGTCTGTGACGACTCAAGTCTTGTCTTGTGGGAGAACAACTGTCCTCATAGGTTAGGCTATTCTGTAAGTTGGATATTGCTTCTTGTAATCACCACCATTCTAAACAAACTGGGATGGGATCCAGAGCACAGGCAGACAGAAGAGATACCCTTTCCATATTAACAGGAAGAAGAGCGGAAAAATAACTTTGGACATAAAGAAGCTTATAAGTTTCAGGACAGTAAGTTGAGGAAGTTTTCATCCGAATGCTGAACCCTATGAAGGAGAGGTCATTTGCTGAGAGTGCTGGGAGACGTAAGGAAATTAGCACCTTGAAGTTCGGAGCAACGTCTGAAATAATACTGAGGAGTGTTGAAAGGCAAGGGCCGAGTGAAACAGTGTGCCAGGCAGTGCTGAGGGCCCAGTGAGATTGGTGGCCCCGATTTTTCCCAGTTGTGTGATTTTCTTCAGTGATCACTCAGTTCCTGGGGTACAGGCGCTGAGGATGTGGAGACTTGGATTTACATAGGGCCTAGACAGCATGAGAAAGGACAAAGGAACAAGGGAATTGAGGAGATTAGCAAGAGTGAGCGGTGTGATGGACCAGGGAATCTAAGCTGAGTGGGAAGGCAAGTGAGTGCAGAAAGGAGACCATGGATACCAAAAATAAGTCAGGTTGGGGGCAGGCAATGGCCTGGAGGGCAAGGAGTAGGCAAGAGACTCGTCAGCAATATGGGATTTAATTTTAATTTTATTTATTTATTTTTTGGCCACGCCGCGCGGCTTGCGGGATCTTAGATCCCTGACCAGTGCTCCCAGCAGTGGAAGCAGGGAGTCCTAACCCCTGGAGCGCCAGGGAAGTCCCTAGCAATATGGGATTTTAAAATGGTCAGTCTTCTGGGTGCGGGGGAAAAACAAACCTAGTCAGGAATTATAGAAATTCCTGATTTCTTTGCCATTCTTGAGTTTAGAAGTCCAATATTGTCGAATTCAGTGAGAAGTATCCCTTACTGAATCAACATGCCCTTCTTTCTTCCGTCACAGAGAGTGAAACTAGAGTCTCCTCCCTTTACGCTGTGTGCAACCAGCCACAGCAATCAGTCAGTTCCTTTATGTTATCTGAAATCCTTTCCATTCCAATGTAGTGGAAAAAAAAAAAACAGAAAAAATGGGCTTCCCCGGTGGCGCAGTATTAGAGAGTCCGCCTGCCGATGCAGGGGACACGGGTTCGTGCCCCGGTCCGGGAAGATCCCACATGCCGCGGAGCGGCTGGGCCCGTGAGCCATGGCCGCTGAGCCTGCGCGTCCGGAGCCTGTGCTCCGCACCGGGAGAGGCCACAACAGTGAGAGGCCCGCGTACCGGAAAAAAAACCACAAAAACCAAAAATCAATGTAGTGGATGCTATGCTGCCCCGCCCAGAGCCCCACTTCACAGCCATGGTGCTCGCTCCGCCAGCTGCTGGGACGTCGGCTGCTGAAGGCTCTAAACCGCGTCCTTCTCTGCGAGTTACGCTCAGCTGAGGGCAGAAAGGCCTGGGACACTTGCCTCATTAGGCTTCTGGAGAGCCTCCAGTCTCCAGCTGTCCCCCTGGGATCACCCTAAGCCTCTGTTACCTCTGCATTTTACCAGGGTTGTTACGGATGTAATTTACTCCCTGATAAACTCCCCGCAAGCAGATCTTCTCTCAGCCACCGAACCCAAATGAGGCAGAACCCCAGTCGCCTGAAAGACTCATACGGCTTTCCTCACTCCTCTTTCTGCTTTCTTTCCAGTGCATCCCACACAATGATGTCACAGCCAACTTCCCTGTCCTCCCTGCCCCCATATTATTTTCAGCATTTTTGTTCAGCTTAAAAATCCTTACTGGCTCTGTAGTACCTCTAAAAATAAAGTACAAATTCTGTAGCTCAACGTTCAAAATCCTCTACAACTTGGCTCCAACACTGCTACGTTCCAACGTTCGTTCTTCTACTCCCCCACCTGACCTCTCTGGGCCAACCAGACTATTCTATCCGCTGTCTATCCAGGCCATGTTCCTTGCCATCTCTGCTTTGGTTCATTGGTTCCTCTCGCATGGAATTCTCTCCTTTCTCTCAGTCAACACATATTTGAGTGCCCACATGGGACAGGCTGTAGGCCAGAAGCTTGGAAGAGAAACATTGGTTGACTGAAAGATACTATTTTTGCCCTCAAAAAGCTTACAGTCTAGCCACTGGGAGAAACGGATTTGTAAATAGGTGACCATAATACGTTGGTTTCGGTAAACTGAAAGAACCATGTATAGGGTATTATAGACAGGAAGGGAGGGACAGGGATGGCCTTTTGGAGGAAGTGGCATCAGCCCTGTTTTTCAAATAGGCCTGAATCACTGATGAAAATTATAGCTCAATTTTACAGTCAGACCCGTTGAGCAGAAGCTTGTTTATTGGTGTGCAGCTGGCAACATATGAAATGAGTTATGTCCCGTTCTTTTCTGTTCTTTTCCAAGCCCACCACTCCACCTCGCTCTAGAGAGAAAAGACTTCCCATGAGCTGGGTTCCAAGGATTTATGGGCTTCTTCGGTGCAGAAAGATGGGCCTCACCGCCATGAGCTCTTCTCTGAGGGATGGTAGACACCGGGCCTGTTCCCAGGTCCAGAGGTAGTGAAGATGAAGACCAGGTTTCGGTTGGTGTGTCTCTGACCATTGGGAGAACCCCAGCCCAACAGCCTGACCCACCTGTTTGGCTCCAGTGTGAGTTCTCTAAGTCCAGCTTCTTGTCACCACAGACAGACAGGTGGTTCACAGTCGTTCTGGGTTGAGATGGGGAACCCTCCCAGTTGGCTGACCATGAATTCTCTGGCTTTCTACCTCTCCAATCTGTCAGTTCTCCTCTGTGACCCATTCCTATGTGCTGCTTCAGGTTTGCCGATGGAGTTCCTGCGGCCCTTTACCCAGCACAGGGGCAAACCACAGTGGCTGCTGTGTCACCAAGCTGCTCAGTGCCAGCTTCCATCTAAGAGACTGGAAGACAGCTGGTCAGGGAAAGTGGCACATCTGGAGTACAGTTTCTCATGGCCATTCTATCCTGTGAATATTTTATTTTATATATATATTTAAATTCCTGGGTTTATGCTTTCTTTCCTCCAAAATATGAAAAGCAGCAGCTCTACTTAGTTTTCTTTTCCCCATAATGCCTTGTGTCCTTTGCAGACTGAATGAGTTTTTAGGGTCATGAGGTTAAAGGTTCCCCACTACAAAGCTTTTATTTCAATTTGCACACGTAAAAAC